GTCGCGCATCTTGGCCACAAGCTCGTCCGTGTTGTTGACCAGCACCAACTGGTTGTTCCTCAACTCGGCCCAACAAACATCGCCCATGTGCTCGGGGTACCGTCGCAACGGCACACACATGGCGGGCGCCACCTTTTCGCTCACATACATCACCCGTCTCAAGCCCCGTGCAAAATCTGCGAGCTCGTCGCAGTAGCGCGGACACCATTGGCATCGTTCGGACAATCGTTCGCGGGTGATCGTCGGCGCCGATAGCGCCGCCAGTCGCGCCGTCAATTGCGGCAACCCAATCGCTGCAAGCATCCGAGCAAAGTCGAAATGCCCAGCGTTCACCGCCTGGTCGTGGGAGGGCACGATAACGTCCATGATGACCGTGATGGGTGCTTCGTGCGCAGCTTCGAGGGCCTTGGCATACGCCAGCAGCGCCGCCAGACCCGGCGTGTGATCGAGATTGGCGCAGATCCAGACCGCGCCGCGCGCGTCCGACGTCAGTTTGCAAACGTCGTCCGTGTCGGCGAGTGGGGTCACGACCGTGGCATCAAACCGGGCCAGGGCCAGTAGCCGTGCGACCTGCGCCGGTGCGAGTTGCAGCGCCGGTATTGCGCCCAGTGGGCCGTCTTCATCGTGTTGCTGACCAACGCGATGACCAACGCTGCGTCAAGGCTTGTCGTGCCGTGTGTGAGCTGCAGTAGTGCCACGACTCCATTGTCGTCCAGCTTGTTCTCGGACGGCCCGTACCGTTGGAGTGCAATGCTGATGAACGGCTGGAGCGCAAGCATGCCAAACGATAGCAAGAGCACCAAGGTAACGGGTGGTATGCCAAGCGTAAGGGTGCCTCCGGGATCGGGACGTTCTTGGGGTCGACAGGTGCATCGTGGAGAGGATGAAGAGTGAGGGATGAGCTTCCTAACACTAAAGACTTTTCGTTGCGCCACAGTGTGTCAGGAGGTGCTCAAAGGGCGGCCGGATCCACCGCCTAGGGGTCACCGTGGCTCGGCTCGAAATCTCAAGCCCGAGCCGACCCAAAGCCAGGAACTTGGCAACGATAGCGACGTTGTTGTGGACAAGTGCGTTTGGTGGTCAATCATCCGACGGAATGGTTGGAGCCGCGGCTTATCCGTCTTCTATCGGCTCGGCTCGGCTTGACCCCGGCTCGGAGCTGGCTCGAAACAACGGAGCCTGAGCCGGTCACTTCTCGGCTCAGAACTCGGGTTTTTTTCGAAGGCAGCCTCGACTCCTTGACTCTCGAACGCTACTACAGTATGCAGGAAGCAAGATAGGACTCAAGGCGACAAAACTCGACGATCATAAAGCATAACTCGTCTTCATAATGCGACGCTTACTTGGTGCGGCGTTGGCGCTTGGTTGGCCGAGTGGTCGGGGGTGGCAGCATTGCGTGCATGTCTTTTAGCACCTCGTGGGCCTCCTTGTA